TAAAAAGCGGATTTTTACGTGTGATATGCGCAGGCCAAGTCTATATGTCGATGTTTTATCTATTATTGGTATCTCACAAATATATGTCATATCTTACCGCAGCCAGTGACATACGCGAAGTTAGGAGATCTGTCATGCGTGCAGTAGGCAATGTAGAAAAACGCTCTCTTAAAATATTTTTATTAATTACATATGGGTTTATTTTTATATATCTGTATTTTTCCTGTTATATATGCTATCCGTAAACAATTAAGAATTGTACTTTTTCGAAATTAAAATTCCACATATATCACGGCATTGTGAGATTTTACGAGCAAAAGAGTACCGTACAATTATTAATTGTTTACAGACAATATATCATACATAAAACACAGATATACAACAAAAAAACCATATATAAATAAAGATATTCTAACAGGGCGTTTTTCTATATTGCTTACTGCACACATGACAGATATCTTAACCTCACGTATGTCACTATTTTAATATTTCATTATCAGTTTTCAGTATCAAACATATTTGTAAGTTTAGACATTTTGCTCTTCGTACGAAGTGACATTGAGTAAGTATTCTTTGCTAATTTGATAGAGCTTGGGTATTTTAGTAATGTGGGACAAGTTCTTAGTAATAAGTAATAAAACATTATAATTAGAAACGAGTATTTTCTGTTATATCTTCATAGTTTATAATATAAGAGTATGTATATGCATCATAGGCCTACTAATTTTCAAGTCATTAATCATCTCTTTTATTTACAGTGGGATCTTTACGCTAGAAATAATGCATTTTTCTACGCATGCTAGGATAACTATTGTGCAACTACAGTATGAGGTAATGTTTTTAAGTATTGTATTTACTGACTGTTCACTCAACCTAAAGGAAGACTGAATTGTGATGATGACAATTATGCTGGTAAGATTGCTTTACAAGATCTTAATGTCACGCTACCTATTTATATTATATCATGTTTATTTTCATATTAAGCAGGCAAAAGTAATAACTCGGCACTAATTTGCAAACCAAGAATCCAGCTTGCATCGAATGTCTGGAGGGAATCCATTTACAAAGCACGAGAATCTTTTAAGCGAGAGTTCAATATTATAGTCTCCGCTAATAGAATCTTGTGATCTGTAATGGAATGATCAACGCTCATTCACCAACTTGCAGTGTCTGTTGAAGCAATAATGATTTTGTACTGTTGACGTGTTAGAAGATTGAATATGAAGATTGAGTTTGAAGATTGAACATTTATATCGCTATTCAGTTAGTGAATATATCAACGAAGACAGTGCTTTGGCATATTATATGCAAATGTGGCATATTGTAATATATATATTATTATATATGTATTATATATGTATATATTATATATGTATATTATCTATATCATAAAAGAAAAATCTTATAACATTCTGTTTTAACCGATTTATCAATTTTACAATTACATTGCAGTGTACATATAAATACATTATTTTTCAAAGAATGATCTTGTATCAATATGATAATTATATTGTAATAATTATACTTGAAGATTTACATGTATGTACTGTCTCACATAATGCATATACATATGTTGAAATATGGAATTATTAGAAATATTAGAATAGATATATTTATATATTTGTATATCGGTGTATTTCGTATGGTGAACAATGAAGAATTATACCGTATTCTTTCGCACTTAAAATTTCAAGTATGTCACGGCATCGTAAGATTTCAAGTGCGAAAGAGTGCGGTAAAATTTTTCGTTCACCATATGAAATACACCGATACACAAATATATAAATATATCTATTCTAATATTTCTAATAATTCCATATTTCAACATATGTATATGCATTATATGTGATAGTACATATATGTAAACCTTCAAGTATTTTTTAATTATTATAAATATAATTATCATATTGATACAAGATTATTTCTCTGAAAAATAATGTGTTCATATGTACACTGCAATGTAATTGTAATGCTGATAAATCGGTTAAGAACAAAATGTTGTAAGATTTTTCTTTTGTGAGATATATATAATATGTATAATAATATAAATATTACAATATGCCATATTTGGATATAATATGCCAAAGCACTGTCTTCGTTGATATATTCACTAACTGAATAGCGATATAAATGTTCAATCTTCAAACTCAATCTTCATATTCAATCTTCTAACACGTCAACAGTACAAAATCATTATTGCTTCAACAGACACTGCAAGTTAATGAATGAGCGTTGATCATTCCATTACAGATCACAAGATTCTATTAGCGGAGACTATAATATTGAACTCTCGCTTAAAAGATTCTCGTGCTTTGTTAATGGATTCCCTCCAGACATTCGATGCAAGCTGGATTCTTGGTTTGCAAATTAGTGCCGAGTTATTACTTTTGCCTGCTTAATATGAAAATAAACATGATATAATATAAATAGGTAGCGTGACATTAAGATCTTGTAAAGCAATCTTACCAGCATAATTGTCATCATCACAATTCAGTCTTTCTTTAGGTTAAACGAACAGTCAGAAAACACAATACTTAAAAACATCACCTCATACTGTACTTGTACAATAGTTATCCCAGCACACGTAGACCCAAAAATGATTTATTTCTAGCGTAAAGATCTCACTCTAAATAAAAGAAATTGATTAATGACTTGAAAATTATTAGACTTATGTTACATATACATACTCTTGTATTATAAGCTAAGAAGATATAACAGAAAATACTCGTTTTTAATTGTAATGTCTTATTATTTATATTTAACAATAAGAACTGTCCCACATTACTAAAGTACCCAAGTTCTATCACATTAGCAAAGAATACTTACCCAATGTCATTTTGTACGAAGAGCAAAATCTCGTAAACTTACAAATATGTTTGATACTGAAAACTGATAATAAGATATTAAAATAGTGACATACATGAGGTTAGGATATCTGTCATGTATGCAGTAAGCAATATATAAAAACGACCTGTTAGAATGTTTTTATTTATATATGGTTTTTTTGTTGTATATCTGTGTTTTATGTATGATATATTGTCTGTAAACATTTAATAATTGTACGGTACTCTTTTGCACGTAAAATCTCACGATGTCGTGATATATGTGGAATTTTAATTTCGAAAGAGTACAATTATTAATTGTTTACGGATAGCAAACAACAGGAAAAATATATATATACAAAAAATAAACCCATATATAAATAATAAAAATATTTTAACAGAACGTTTTTATACATTGCCTACTGCACATATGACAGATATCCTAACCTCGCGTATGTCACTGTTTTAATATCTCATTATTGTGTTTGTAGTATTAAACATATATTTGTAAGCTTGCGAGATTTTGCTTTTTCTACATAGTGACCCAGACAGCACAAAATGTCCTCAGGTTCATCCTGAATATGTCCAGGATGGTTCAGGATATTTGTAGGATGTTTTAAGATATTATTATAAATATATTTTATGAAAATTTAATATGCATACATGATTACTTTCGGTTATGTAGGCTATTTAATATAATTTAGAAATTTTAAGTATTGTAATAAGTATTAATGTCCTATAAATGTCCATTGGATAACTCCTGGATGTCTGTAGGATATCTGCCCTGTCTATTATATTGAATGTCCTTTGGATTTCCAGAGGACATATACATGTGCAATTAATTGTTAACATTAATTTCGTTTAATATTAATAATTGAATTTGATGCGCACATTTTCACATATTCAAAATTATTGTTTATTTAATATTTCATGAGAAATGTTACTATGCGCAACATTCCAAAAACTTTACAAAAAATAGTATTCAACCGCTAGTTCGTTTGTTTACCGCTATGCGACGCGCAAACTCGTATTTGAGATTTGGTCATGAGAATTATATAAAGCTTGCAAAGAGCAACTAACAGGAAATTAAAAATATAATTATTTTTTATCAGTTCAATTTCTGATGCAATCCCAACATAGGGAATTCAGATTCAGATATTGGATTGTTTTGAAAATATTACACATAAACCTAAAATATTTATGTACAGCACGAAAACCTCAAATATTAAAGAACGTGAACTATTTTTAGTATTAGATTTTTAGTATTGGCAGTAAATAACAGAACGCAATCTTAATTTATATTTAAATTTTAGAATTTGTTCTTTTTAACGTGTGAAAAATATCCCTAACATATCCTATAGAAATCCTTAAGATGTTCCACAGATGTTTCACAGGATCTCCCTGGATTCTCCAGAGGCTAGTGTACGGCTATCATTTACTCTTCCTCAGGACATCCAGAGGAGATCCGAGGATTAAAATAGGATATCCTCAGGATATCCTACATGTATGTCCTGGATGCCCTTTGGACGTCCTAAGGACATCCTTGTGCTGTCTGGGAACTTATAATTTCTATTATCAACTATTTCCAATCTGTATTTTTATGTCGATTCTAACTATTTCGACAATCCTCTTGCACGCGAATAGAAAAATAGTCGTCGACAAAATATCTATAGGATATATATATACGGATCGGAGTCGACACTGAACGAGCACAAGGTCAATTATAATGAACTTCCTTATAGATACTATAATCCTTTTGTTTGATCAATAAAATTTAATAATTAGTTCGCCAATTTAATTGTTCAGATTTCCTAAAATGCAGTTAATATAGTATACAGGAAATAATTTATGTCAAGTGTAGCGCTGAATGAAAAACATTAAAATTTCCCAGGCAATGCGTTATTCGCGCGTTTATCTTATGCACGGTTCATATGAATTAAAATCGCGATTACGTCCATCGTTTGCCTTATCGCGCATGACATCCTAAATTGATTAGATTTTAGAAAAAAAGTATGTAATTGCGCGATAATTCGATATATTTTTCGGCAGAAGATAGAAAAGCGCGCAAGCCGAATATCGTGTCGAACGTATACGCGTTTGATCCGATAGAAACCAGCTTTAACCAGGCAGGTTAGGTTTCGGCGCGGGAGAGGAGAGGAGAGGAATACGGGGGAAGGGGAGTGGAGAGTGTCGGGGAGATCAAAAGCGGCGACTCGCCCCGAATCGTTCCGGCCGATTTCTGTCGCGTCAGCTGTTTCCCGGCGAGGTGGTAGGAAGCAGGACGGAACTTGTTCGCGAAGGATCGCGTTTTCCGCGGGAACACCGGCGCGGACGGATCATCCTCGCAATCGTAGACATCCCAGTGTATACCCGAGGATGCAGCAGGCGAACGGCAATGGTGCCCCGGTCTCGCCGAGGAAGAAACAGCGGACGTCCACGGGCGGCGGTTCTATATCGAAGGTCACGGTAGTTCTTGGCGCGCAATGGGGCGACGAGGGCAAGGGAAAGGTCGTGGACATGCTGGCGATGGACGCTGACGTCGTTTGCAGGTGTCAGGTATGTGTGTATCCGTCTCTCTCAGCGGATTCCCGGGATGTCGACGCGACTTCCCGCCTCTTGGGTCGTTGGCGGACAGAATCGGTTCCCCGAAAACTGCGCGAATGACTCATCTCCTTTTGTAAATGTAATCTCATATTTATTCAACATCTTTCGGAGAGGAGGTTAGTTAGGCTGTCGGAGAAGTGGCGCGTGTGTTCCAGGAAACGCTGATGAATATTCCCTAAAAGCATTCAAAGTATTCAAATTATTTCACGAGCGATTGTCTGTATCTTTAACGCGAAAAACGCTCGCGTCTACTATCCTTTTTTAGTTTTATTTTTAGAAATAACACGCGCGCGCGTCACCTGACCTGTGGATATTACAAACATCTCTATAGCCTTGTACTTGATATTACATAATAATTTGATGGTTTTTATATAGATAAAAAAGAAATCACAAAATTATAATGTAGTGTATCTTTGTGGTTTAAACATGATAAATAATCCACTCTTTCTTTATCTCGTTTGTTACAAGAATATCTGTCTCAACATAATATATACATATGATAATTACAGAATCAATGCTTTATGAATAATTATCCGATAATGTTAATGTAAGAAAATCAAGTTTTATGTAATGTCAGTCTACGCATATTCATATTTCTATGAAAAAAATAATATTAAATATATCAAGAAGAATTACTTCTTAGCTCTTTCATTTTTTAAATAAAACTTGTGACACAATTTTTTATATGTATTGTAGAAGATCTTACTTTACATTTCTTATCCCTCTTTTCTATCTTTTTTTTTTTTTTACCTATGATAGATGGAATATGATAAATAGAATAGATGTATAGATTATATATACTTGTATATTGAGACTTCAATGCCATTATTTATGTTAGTCAAAGGGTCCTCGTGTATTTTGATTCGATGTAATTAAAATTACGATACAATCTTTTCTGTCGTAAATAATAGCAAGCTGTTTCTTCAAGTATTAATGTAATTTCACAGGGAGGAAATAATGCAGGGCATACTGTAGTTGTAGAAGGTGCCGAATTCGACTTTCATCTTCTGCCTAGTGGAATAATCAATCCCAGATGCAAATCCGTTATAGGTAATAATCTTTGCAGATCAACAAATAAAATTAATATTCTGATTTATGACAAAACAACATGTGTCTGTGATGATTTTAGTGATTAATTTAACATAAAGGAACAAAATAACAAGCAATTTGGCAAAATAAATATATATGAGAAATTAAGATCAATGTATAAAACAATTATTCCATTTGTTTATACATAGGTTATTCTATTATCTCTTGGTGTATATAGATAAATATATAGATTTATAGATAAATATTGAATTACCTGAATATTGTTATCTCAATTATTCTATTAAACACACTGCAGATCGTATATTTAATTAATATTATTCACGGTCTTTTTGTTTACAGGAAATGGAGTAGTAATTCATCTACCTGGTCTATTTGATGAATTGGAAAAGAACGAGTCTAAAGGACTAAAGAACTGGGAGGACAGGCTTATAATATCAGATCGGGCGCATTTAGTGTTTGATTTTCACCAACAGGTCGATGGATTGCAAGAACTGGAGAAAGGTACGCAGTCATTGGGAACTACGAAGAAAGGTATAGGACCGACGTATTCGAGCAAAGCCGCGAGGAATGGGCTCAGAATCGGAGATCTTCTCGGCGACTTTGATAAGTTCTCCCAGAAATTTAACACTTTAGTTACGTCGTATCAAAAAATGTTTCCTGCCTTGCATGTCGATGTTAAAGCCGAATTGGAACGTTACAAGGAGTATGTATAACGAGTGTCTTATGAGATTATATTGTTTTACAAGATTTGTAAAATATACAGTTTATTCTCTCTTCCGTAGATACTCCGAACGTATAAGGCCGTACGTGAAGGAAACAGTGCAATATTTGCACCAGGCTTTAAAGGATGGTAAAAAGGTTTTAGTGGAGGGTGCTAACGCAGCAATGTTGGATATTGATTTTGGAACTTACCCATATGTAACAAGCTCGAACTGTAGCATCGGCGGGGTATTGACCGGTCTTGGTCTACCTCCTAGCACAATCGGAGAGATTATCGGTGTTGTAAAAGCCTATACTACCAGAGTCGGTGATGGGCCATTTCCCACAGAACTTTTAGATTCCACCGGAGAGTTATTGCAGGAAAGAGGTCACGAAATCGGCGTAACCACAAAGCGAAAGAGACGGTGCGGGTGGCTCGATTTGCCCTTGCTGAAATTTACGACGCTAGTTAATGGGTGTGTAAAACAATTTATTACATTATATCTGAAAATTTATCTCTATTTTCAATGACTGCTTGATATAATAAATTATTGCATTATTGAAATGCTGACATAATATGTATTAATCATTGTTTTTCCATTCCAGGTATACATCTATATGCTTAACAAAACTTGATATCTTGGATACATTACCAGAAATAAAAGTATGTGTTGGATATCAATTAAATGGAAAGGATATAGATTATTTTCCAGGCAGTTCTTGTGAACTAGCAAAAGTTGAAGCTGTGTATAAGACAGTCGAAGGTTGGCAATCCGCTATCGAAGGTGTACGCTCCTTTGATAAATTGCCACCTAATGCACATAAATACATACAAATCATAGAGGAATACTTAGATATACCAGGTATGTTTATATGTAACATTATAGCACATATCCATGTATGTTAAAAAATTTTTTAGAATTAGATATAGAAGAATCTATTTTGTTACAGTCAAATGGATTGGCGTAGGAGCAGGACGAGAAAGTGTAATTGCCCTTTGACGATACACGGTCTGCAAAATATTACTTAAATGCACGGCATTAAATGTATTATTAATTTTAATTTTACCTGTAATATTTGCAATGCAAAGCTGATGAGCGCACAGGCAAAATGTACTTTAACAATAAGTTTTCAATGAATGTAGTATTCTTGAATGCATATATAACATTGTATAATTGTGTAACAATGTGAGTGTGTAGTCATTTTGTAGTCGTATCTAACAAACAAGCCGAAGATTATTAGAAATGTTTGTTGTTATCGTCTATTTTAAGTAGATTCTGTTATATATATATAAAATTAAAGTATATTTATTTTTCATCAATTACTATCTTTAATTGCGTTAGCTCTATGTGCTGTATGGAACAATAATTTACCAAATGCGAAATTCGATGATATGCCGGCGTGTTCTTGTCAACAAAGGGATATGCAAAGTAAAATATGATACATCTATTTTTCAAAAAAATTCCAATTCTTTTTTCACAGATTTGAAAGATTGGATGTCAATCTGTCACGCAATTTTAATCTCCAATTATATCTGTAAATATTATATTTTAATAACATATGCTATGTATATTGTATACACGATTATCATAGCTTATAAATATATGTATATCATGATAATTAAAGTATAGCTTGAAATTGCGATTTATTTCTCAGATATGTCACGCATTGGCAGCATCTACCAGTAGACATAACCTTGTCATCGTCTAATACTGGAAATGTATTTTATCTCCATAAAGTAGAAAAAATGTGATACTTAAACCATTATTTAGACATCTCTGTATTTAATGAATTTACTGCAATAAATGATAAATATTTGTCATGTTTATTTGAATACACTTGGGTATGTTGCTTGTTACATATTGTTTGGATTACAATATACCTACATTTATTTCTCGTAATCATTGGGTCTGTTTCTTTAGAGCTGAACTGGCTGTACTAGTTCAGAGCTTATCTTTCTCCTTCCAATGTAGAGAGAAAAAGACAAACTCTGAATTAGTGCAACCAGTTCAGCTATAAAAAACAGATCTATTATGTAACTGTGATCAAGTTGTCATTCTATTAACGAGAATAAAAAGAAATGCGAAAATAATCGAAGTGAAAGTAGGTAAGGTGAAAGCAACCTACATTGTAAAAGATATGAGCAAATATGCTTTAAACACTTGACACATTTTCTATTTTGTATGTTACATGGAAAAGTTGTATAGGTTATAATCAGAGTATTATATTTTATATATATAATTACAATGTATATATATATATATGATTATTTTACATATGAATATTCTATGCTTTAGGAGAAATATATAATAGCAGGAATCTCTTTAGTTTATTAAAATTTGTTTTACATGTGTATATTTAATTGTATCATTTATATATATGTATATATATTATTTATTAAGATTTACTTTTCAACAGTTATATATAGATAATATATGAAATATGTAATAACAGTTTCTTAAAATGATTATCTCTCATATATAAAAAAAATCCAACACAATAAGATATGAGATAAAATTTTAGCACAATATAATATTAGAAAGGAAATTCTGGGTGTTTTTCAACGCCTTTAAAAAAAGAAAAATCACATATACGTCCAGATTCTCCCATATCAATAGCATTTAACTTGTCAATATCTTCAACTCGAAGTTCCCAATCAAATAGCTGGATATTCTCCTTAATTCTCGTAGATGTTGAGCTTTTCGGTATGGCTATTATACCTTTTTGAATAATATGTTTGAGTAATATTTGAGCAGGAGTTTTTTTATACTTCTCTGCTATTTCTAAGACAGTTGGATTTTCTAATAAATTCGGTATGGTATTTGCTTTTCCTATTTCTTTGAGGAATCCACGTGTACCTAATGGTGAATATGCTGTTATGCTAATATTGTTATCTTGACAAAACTTTATCTGAAAGAATATACATATAATTTATATTAATAAAAATTTATAGAAATATATTTAAAAAAAATATAAGATTTATATACCAATTCCTTCTGCTGGAAATTTACGTGCAATTCAATCTGTAAGTTTGAAATAGGTAATTTGGCATTATCTAAAATCTTTTTTATTTGGTGAATATTGAAATTGGACAATCCAATCGCTTTTGTACGTTTTTCTAACACTTGTTCCTCCATGGCCGACCATATTTGCAAATGATCTGTATCTATATCGATTCTTATTTCTCCATTTTCATTATGCGGACGTAAATCTTCTCCATTTTCAAATGCAAATGGGACATGTACCAAATACAAATCCAGGTAACTTATTTGCAAGTTTGCAAGTGATTTCTTGATCCACTTTTCAACGTCTTTAGCTCTATTACCATTAGGAGGTAGCTAGTATATTAAACATATATGTATATATATATATATATATATATACATATATCACATTGCTATATATATATTAATTATTATGACCTATATCTATTTTTTTCATCTTTTCATTTTTC